CTTTCTGCGGCGAGAAGAAAAGAAGAACAAGGTAAAGAAACTGGATATTTTAACGCTTCAATTACATCCATGACGATAACAGAATTGATTTTAAACGCATGCATAATGACCGATGTTGTTATCGCCATATAAAAGATACATCCATTTGAAAAAAATTTTTCATTACTGTATCTGGGAAACGCATTAAGCTTTATGCAGGACAACAAACCTAAATAGAATAATGGGATACATTTAAAATATCACTGCTCTAATGATATAGCAGCTGGAAACGCCTTTTAAGCAGTAAAACTAGAAACCGCTTCAAAATGCGTTTCTGATACCGCTGATAAGAATAACAATTCTCAATTCGCCGGATTTAAAAGGTGTCTATTCTTAAGTATATAAATGTCCACAGAAAGTTCCATTTCGATGTATATTCGAACACGCTATTGTTCGACACAGCAAAGAAGTGCGGCGCTGCACCCATGTACTGCAGGTGCCAAAATACCATGAAACAGTCTGCTTAAATATTTCTGTAGGCAACTAGAAGCAACGGGACGATTCGACTACGCCATATAAATCAGGAGAGTTCATACAGATTGAAAAAAAACTGATAAGAAAGTTTGGAATGATGCAACGAATGGTTCAGATCCAACCCAAAAATTTAAAGTTATGAATATGCTAATTAAAATCTGTAAATCTGAAGCTCTCTTTAAATCGAGGTATGTTTATAACTGAAATATATACGCCGTATATACTTGTTGGCGATGACGTTAACATCTGCAAAGTTTCGAGCCATCAACAACGAATGGGCAAACTATATTTAATGTCAGAAACAGGCTCAGAATGGGAAATGCCGTCATATTGGTTCGATTGATCAACCATGAGAGCAGATCTGAATTGTTTTTGTTTCCGCGATTACATGTTGTACGGATCATAACAGTGACAAATCAGTTATCAGATGGGTAAAGGCGACGCACAGCCACAACTGGACCTCGAATTGGATAGCACGGCCGAACACATCGTCCATTCCGGTATGACCAGACCAGTATACCACGGTCTACCTGATATTCGCAAATCAATGACTTATAACGTGTTTCACAGCTGGTTGCGCTAAAACAACAATTTACCCGTTTCCGGGACTCCAAACATCCAACTCCGGAGTTCGAAACCGATCTCATTATCAACGTACTACCTGCTGTTTCTAAGCAACATCTGCTAGTTAAAACCTTATTGTCACTGTCTCATTTTTGGCGGTCTTATCCATATACCAACAAAATGCTCAGCTGAGCAGTAGATTAAGCCGACGAATTGGAAAAAAATAAAATAAGTTTTCGCAATATCATTCATGAAGAAAAAAATGCTTCTCGTTTAACAATTCACAAGCTATGGAGCAACTATGACAAAGCCTGAAAGAAGTAACCTACTGTTTGTGATCTCCAGCAGCGACAGAATGACTTGCGATCACCGATTTCTTCGATGTCGAATTCATGACGAACCTGCGGTGCTGACATCTGGATATCATAGTTGATGCGCCTTAAACGCCTGGGAATGATCTTTCCGCGAAAAAAATATCCGACCGCGAACCCAGCAAAGAACAACGGTAAAGATTTTACCCAGTCGGGAACTAAACATATGAAATGAAACCAGATCAAGTTCAGCCTAATCGCTTACTATTCGACCAACCGATGCTGCCAGTCGATGACATTCACGGCGTTCTGAGCGAGACCCTGACGATATATGTGAAAAACTGCAGAACACGAGACACCGGGAAAACAGTGCAACACTGTCTCAGGCGCTGGTCCAGACGACCAACGTTTCTGACTACCACCGACCTGAAAGTCAAACGTAACTGTCAACATCCAGCAGAAGAAGTCTTCACATTCAACCGATAAAAATTCAAACACCAACGTGGCAAAAAAAGATTTTAAGAAGAAAACGTAAGTAGTCAGTGAATCAAATACGTTATTTTACAAGATGTTGCTTACATTATTACATACTACGGGGAAACAAAATCAAATCACAAGAGCTCATATTTTACATTAGCCAATTTCAATCTGAATAAGACCGACATTACAACAGACAAAAAATGATCGGCATGTACATCGAGAACTCCTATGCAGCACTTTTATTTCATACTATATAAATTAAGCTTGTAATTTACGGATGTGATTAAATTGAATTTTTTCCCCTTTCAAATTAAACCACCAAGACATTGCTTATCTTCCTATGAATATGTAAGAACAAAGATTTTAAATCAAAATCGTTGTTTTGTTTATTAATGATAAGCTGCATGTACCTCACATTTGCACGTTCATAAGGAAGGTTGGGTCAACAGGTCTGACAATGAGACTAGAACGAAGATTTTTTAACATAGGATTTAGTTTCGATGACTCGAAGGCAATAATGTATTTCACTTTGAGAAAAGAGGATTAATGGTTCGGCAGTCCGTCTAATCTTATCACATAGCCAGCTGAGGCAATATGGATCATAATCGTCATTTCATGGATGGAGTGCAAAGTATAATGGCAAGTTGTACTTCGATGACAACTAATACACATACTACTTTCAGATCACTAGGGATGAATATGTTCAATGGCCGAGAAGCGAGCAATTCACTCGAGTTTCGCTCTAGCTCACTTCAAGTAGCGGAAATTTCCCTACGCAGTCTTTGAGACTTGCGCATGTGACAAGTCAAGAAAAATAGTGCTAATACTAGAGTTTCATGCTTGTAAAAATGTTAGTACTTCTGATTTTTCCATACATTTCAATGCCACTTCTATTCTATAATTTTCACCAAAAATCGATATATCTTCTGTTCATTTTTCATCATTTTTACTTAAGCTTTGTATTAAATGTGAATGTCCTGCTACAAAATCCTATTTTTGAGGAGGTTTCTGCGAAGTATCGCTTAAAGATTAATCAAGGCACATATTCCACATTCTTTTTAACTTCAAGCAACATTTTTAATTCGTTTTTATCAAATCGTCAAAGCAGGTATATTTCTAAAATCATGGCTATACTTAGACTCAAATTTTCAAGTACCTGCTATGTCCGTTTATACAAGCACCTTTACAAGTCTTTCTCTCGATTATCCTGAAATGGATAAGGAGCGAAGGTCTTCGCTAAATCAGACAGCTCCGCGAGGGGGATACTTTCTTAATCTGCCCATATTCCTTCGTCGTGAATTGCTGAACAATGCCGGAGATTTCGGTTGTACTGGTATGCCAGTTTTCTCGACTTTAAACTGCACCCACTTCAACACCAGCAAAACATTCAAACATGGGACGTTTATATTCTTGAGGATATACGAAAAAACCTTGTGCACACTCAGTCGATAGATATAATCAGTTATTCGATTCTATCCTACACCACCAATGACAGCAAGATTAAACAGGCACAATGGTTAATTCTTGATAGTTTTGCAATGCAAATTTGATATTTTTGCACATGATATTCTTATTTTGCTCATAAATTTAGTTTTATTACACTAAGTACAAAGCTTTTCAAAAAATTACTGCCACCAAGATTTTTACTCAGGTTCAGATTTAACGGCGAAATCTTGAGTGTCTACCCATTTTCATCAAAACGTAGTTGAGCTGTATTACATCCATGCCAATCCAGATATACAATACTACGCATCATCCAGAATATAGCTGTAGCAAGTAATTTCTTTAATATTCGTCCGAATGAACGACTAGAATTTAAACGCTAAAGGAACAAACGACTTCTTACATTCAGATTTATAATACAGTCAATATTTTGGTTAAACAGCACGAGGCACCAGAACAATTAATGGATCTAATTACGAGCATGTCAGAAAAACTAATAGTATATTCAAGCTATAACAATCACGAATGCTAACGATAGTCGCTACACAACAACCTCGTATCATTAACGACGATTAAAAGGTGTAAGCAGAAGATTCAAGTTTTGTGCAGAAATTTATTTGCGCATTAGAGAACCTGAAGTACATTCTAGAGATCACCACAAC